AATCAGAACTGAGTAATTTTTCCATGTATATTATTAGGGGTGTTACAATATTAGGCTTGCAAAAATGAAATGGAGACTAAACAAACACAAAGAATCTAACAATTGAAACGAGAGGAAAATTCAGATGATGCAATGTTTTTTGTAACTGATTTGCAAAATCTACCAACTCATTCACTGGCCACGCAGTACTGACTGCGCGTCGATTAAAAGAAAATTGTAAATGAATAAAGTACAAAAGGTCCATCAGAAAGGTGAAATGTGAGCGCGTATGACCTGAATTCTATTCTGAATGAATAACTTAATTATTTAACATTGCTTTACTCACCAAAATAACCTGACTTCGCCACCAAAGGCCCTCCTTCACAACAGTCTACAAAACGCGTAATTTTCTACGACGATAAGCTTTCTTGTAACGGTTGCTTTTTCGAATATAACTGGTCCTGAATGTCCCTCTGTTTGCTCAAGGAATTTCGCCCACCAAACAAGGACTTAACACGACAGATCTTACAACAAAATATCTACAAGGTTACGCCACGTCACTGGTTACGCATTCTTTTCATATTTTTGTTACGTGATTATCACTTACTTCATGTAGCCTGTTGCGAACAGTAAACTTCAAACCTTCAAACAGCAATGTGTCATTTCTTGTGAAGCACTTGCGCACTCTGTTACCGCCCTTGCAAGGTATCTAGTTGCTATGTACTGGAAACAAAAACCCTTTAACTTTTGCCTTTCGGTAACTTTCCCCCACTTCCCTCGTGCGACTGGTCTCTAAATTACTGTAAATGAACTCTTGAAAAACGGTGGAAATTGTGATGAAGTGAAGGGTAAGTAAAAGTTAAACAGCCTTACTTGTTCTTTTAATAAATAAATGACCATTACTGACAGCACTATGGAGAATCAAAAATTTCACATCCTAAACATATAACATTATTACGAGATCATAACATTCCACAAGCTAACATAAAAACTATCTTAGTGGTATTACCAGGAGCCCATTAGTGACGTGCTCCTGGTATTACATAATAAATGCGTGACATGATGAAATTTTCTGGAAAGTTCTATGGTATGCAAGTCAGCATGACTCAGCTATCTGACGATTTCTGGAAGCTTATATTTACAAAAGTTACTAATAACACCTCTTTTGAATCTTTACAACGTTGTGGTATATCTTCAAATGACTGAACTCATAATTACAGTTGATTATGTATTAAGTGATCACCCACGGGGATTGGCAGGGGTACCGCTTAATTCAGGTTGACCGCTAAATACAGGTTCCACAGATTAGGGGCATTGTAAAAAACGATATACAACGCCATTTTATGCCATAATTAACCGTCCACTTAAAGTACAATACTATTACTCACTTCAATTTTACTTTGAAGGATATTCTTAGTTTTATTTAGGTGATTCGGCTTTAAGTTTACGCTTAATACAAGTGGAGGACAATACAGATAGGCCTTTGGGACTTGGTAAAGGGTGACTATGAACAATAATTAAGAAGAAACGAGTTCGAGACTTTAGCAACCGACTGCTTAGTACAGGGTGACCACTTAGAACAGGGTGACCACTTAATACGGTGCCGCTTTATAAAGGTTCGACTGTATTCACAAAACTTAATGTTGAAGGAGGGTCTCACTGGGGTGATAGCTTTTACGGCTAACGCTAAAATTTTCGGCATTTTGCGGCTACAGTGATCCCAAAATGACACCAAATGACCCATTGTAGAGATGAAAACATTTGACGGTTAACTTTTCTTACAGCTAACGGTTAAAACATGTCAATTTTTACGCCTAACGACTGATAAACGGTAAACCCTATTGAGACCCTCTGAAAGCTGCTTCATGTTTAAGGAATAAGTTGCAACCCATGTAGTCTGTCTTTATATAACTGAACTTTCCAGGATTGACAAAGCTTAATGTTAAAACTGTTTCTTGTTTTAGTGAAAAGTTAAAATTCTCTTGAGGGCTTCTTTCAGACAGCGAACTCTTACTTGACGTTTTCACGTTTTCATTTTCATGTTTCAGTTGATTACCGAAAGAAATCCGACAGCGAACTCTTACTTGACGTTTTCACGTTTTCATAAGCGTTTTTCAGTTGAGTACCGGAAAAAATTCGAGGTTGCAATGATTTTTCCTTAGTAAACTTTATGTTAAGTAAATAAATTTCGCATTGCTCTGCATACCAATCAGATGAAAGACTAAAATCGATCACGTCTCCGTCACTCTCGTTTTTCCGACAATTTAGGCACTCTCCATGTTCTTGGATGAAGTGCAACTTTACACCAAAATGCGGATCGCATGGCTTTTCTGACGCTGCCGTTACTCGTGTTCCGTGTTTTGTTGACGATGTATTGTGCTCTGTTCTTCACGTTTCCAACTCGAAAAGAAGATGACTGCGTTAACTGGTATCCAATTTTAGACAAATTATCTTGAAGAATTGCACATAAGACGTCCGTGTTTCTGCTGACGTACCCTCGCAACTGCCACAGTCCCTCTCCGTTGATTTGGAGGTAGAACATCGGGTTGTAACGTCAACAAACGGAGTAGACATGTGGAAGAATGCAGGGTTGATCGGGGTTTCTATGAGCTCTGAAAAGAGCTCCCGATCAACTCGCTGCAATTCTTGAACGGAACACATTTTGATTTACTTAGCAGCGAGGAGACTGTTGGTGAAGTTCTTTCGAATGCTTTGTAAATGAAGATGGTTAAGTTAACTGGTCTCAACGGACTAGATACAGTTGCGAAATTCATGCAAGCAGTGACGTCGCTTATTACGTTCAATTAAATAATTAATCAATTAAAAAAAAAGTCGCTGGACCACAAAATGTAAGCCTTCGTTTATCGCAGTCTCTAATATGCTAGGTGAACGGGCGATAAATTTTATTTTCCGTTAACTTTCTTTAGTCGTTTAGCCGTGTTTTTTGCGTGCGTGCGTGCGTACGTATTTTTTACGTTGTCCTTTTGCTCTTAACTTGATGTAAAAGTTCTTATCATGTTTTAAATTTCAAAAATTTACATAATTTTATTACTGATTTCGTGCTTAAATAAGAAAATAAATGAGGCGAAACATTGCCAGTGTTCATAAAGGCGGAGCTTAGAGTTATTAATATGCACGCGCGAGGCTCAAAATAAATCAGTTCAACCCCCAAAGGTCCTTGGGACGGCGAGGATCCAAAAGAGAAAATGTATGTTCCAGAAATGCTGGATTTGATACTATTTTCAGACATCGGATTCCCTTCATATGTTGCACGAGCCCTTTATACTTTTTAAGAAAACGTGTCCATATGCAACCCAACGCGCTGATATCTTCATTTAGGCGAAATTCGGTCTCAAAGTTAACATACAGCTATTTCCCATGCTGAACTTTACCCAAAGTAGGTCAAGTTGAGCACAAAATTGGTAAAGGTTAAAGAGATGATACCGTGTGAAAAATGGTCGTTATTTTATTATGAAAATCTTTTCTTTGAAAACCATATGCAACCCTTTCGAAATTTTATATAGTTAAGCTGTGAAAAAATAAACGCAGGGGGACCTTTGCCTATTGCTACCATTTTTCTTTATTGTGTCATGCCATTTGTCGTCTCAGCCTTTTAAATTTAGCGCCCTTGCACCCGTAAATATCCCGGATGTCTCACACAATTCTGCGCAATGTTCTCATTGCGATAGTTTCCCTTCATCTGATTGGCTGTTAAACGCATTTGACAGAGGAAAAAGCTAACACTGCGAACAATAATATGCTCACGGGATCTGGTCTGTGGAAGCTACGTCCTCTGTTGCAAGACGGAAGCAAGGAGATAGGAAAAGCTTGGTTTCCTTCGGGGGGACAATGATGACGGCGTGGACAAGGCTCTGGTAAGAGAATGAAAGCGTTTTTAAGGCTCGTCATGTTTAAGCTCTGTAAAATCCAAAAGTCGGGGGCTCGACTCCTTTGGGGGACTTAGATTTGAATTCGTCTTTGTTCCAAGCTCGAAACAAAAACAAAAGTGTAAAAGTTTCTCTAAAACCAAATAATATTATCTCCGCTCTAACCTTTTATATTCAAAGCGTATTGAGATTTCACAGAATAACATACTCTTTTTATTCTTAAATGAAGTTATGACATTTACCGCGTTTTGTGATTTTTTAGGATAACTGGGCCTTTCCAATATAGAAAGTGGAACACGAACGTTGCCATTTTGAATCGTGGCTGACACCTCGATCTCTTACCTCTTTTCTTAATTTTTTGGAAATCAGTTTGAACGATTCTAAGATATCTAAAAATAAATTTTTGACTAGAATAATTGTTTTTTTCTTGCGACGTTTAGGGAGGTATCTGTCTGGGAACCTCGAGTTGTTGCTTTGCACATGCGGCCCTCTTATTGAGATGATCCCAAAATGTCTGTGTCTTAGTCGTAACTTTGGCACATAATCAATTTTTAAAGTATTGGGTTACTCTTTGAATTCTCAAACCATGCACAGAAGAAACAGCGGAGATAAGAACTATGTGGCTTCGATTCCATGCTTCTTTACTTGAACTGTTAAGTAAAGAAAGTTAAAACGTGAATAAAAGGGGTAAGTTTCTAAATAAACTATGGTGCTGCGTCGGTGGGAGAGTATAACAGGGAGATTTGGTGTTATCAATTGAGTTGATAACTTAAATAGGCTACCGTAAAGAGTATCAAAGTTGACTTTTCGGGCGTCAGCCCTTCGTCAGAACAAATGGGCAGACGCTCAAAACGCCAGCTTTTAAAGTTAAAAGATGTCTGGCAAACCTGTTTTGAGGACAAGATCTTTTGTTTGGTATAAGCCACTTCTGTATGCTAAACATGTGTACCGTCCCTCGTCCTTTTCAGTCACGTTAATTATTTTCAAGGCGAACAGCCTTTTATGTTTGGCAATAGTGGTTTCCCGTATCATTTTGTGACGACCACCATGTGAGACCCTTGTGCCGTTAAACAGCCAAGCATCAGCCTCGACATGAAGTAATTTACATTTGATTGTAACAGTTCCATGCAGATAGGCTGTTTGGCGGTTGCCATCAATCTTCACGTATTCCACTTGTGGAGGAGGTTTGTAACGTTCTAGAATAAGAATGGTTCAGTCATCAAACATTACAGCTAATGGTTGAAGTACTAAATATCACAGCAAATGGGGTGGGCACCGAACATTATAGTTTATGGTTTTTAGCTAAATCATGGTGAAACAACAGGGCCCAGCTATTCGAAGGCTGATTAGCGCTAACCCGCGAATGAATTTAATCCAGGTTATTTCACTCTTTCGTTTAAAAACCTGTTCGGGATAATTTTACCTATTCTTTGTGTGGCATCCAATCGTGAAACTGTAAACAAAAAGAATTTTACTGAATTTCCTTTTAAAGCTTTCAGATCTGAGATCAAATTTCACACCAACTCTGGGTTATCTTAAACCAGCTGTGAACAAGTCGGCCCAGGGTTACAACGCCATACCCCTGACATTAAGAGAGCATGTCTTATTGACAGTTCCAAACTTGTTAGTGGCTACACATGTGTATTTTCCTCTATCCTCTCTCCCGGCAAACTTTATTTTCAGCGTTTGACCGCAGGACAGTCTGTTAATCTTCACGAAGCTTTTCTTTTTCTCACTGAGTGATTTTCCATTATGCAACCACGTGATGTTAGCATAAGTACTGGAGATAACCCCACACTCGATTTGCACATTCGCATCCAAGTATACAGTCTGGCTTGGAGTCAGACAAGTCACCTTAGGTAGGTCTACACAAAATGAAAAAAAGGAAAACATACACTCATATATATATATATATATCATATATATATATATATATATATATATATATATATATATATATATATTATGAGAGGAAAAAAGGACGCAACTACATTTCCCGACAAGCCTGTTTCGTGAATCGCTTCACTCTTCAGGGGTTTAATGATTTCATTAATTATTTCATTAATTAAATGATTTCATTAAACCCCTGAAGAGTGAAGCGATTCACGAAACAGGCTCGGGAAATGTAGTTGCGTCCTTTTTTCCTCTCATAATATTTATTCTGCTCTGCTTCAACGTATTGAGCACTGTTCCACGCGTAAATCGACTTGCAGACTTCCTATATATATATATATATATACAGTCGGTTGCTTAAACGTTGACACCTAAAAAGCAAAATCCATAAACGGCGAGACCCGAAAGTTTCTGGGAACTGCTCCGCATATGTACATAATCATTGATTCACTTATTCACCCTTATGTCAAGCTTTTTCTTATGGTAATTTTTCGAGCCCTTTGTCAGAGCGGAATTCACTCTAACGAAGAGCTCGCGCTCGAACGTCAGGGTCCTACTAGGTCTAGGAGACACATGAATAAAGAGGGTAAGTTTATAAAGAAATTTTGGTGCTGCGTCGGTGGGAGAGTGTAACAGGGTAATTAAGTATTGTTAACTGAGTTGATAACGTAAATTGGCCACCGTAGAGAGTTCTAAAGCCGACGCCGGTTGAGCGAATGGGCTAACGCTCGAAACGTCAGCTTTAAAATTCTCCACGGTGCCCAATTAACGTTATCAACTAAGTTGATAAAACTAAAGTACTTAGAACAGTTGACGTAAAACAACAAAGAACAAAACGACAAAAGAAAGAGGAAAACTATGAAAACAATAAGTTAATGATGCGCTGTTCTATCTTGACTTGTCCTGTGTCTTCTACATCAACAAGAAGCTAAACATTAGCTTCAGGAACTTTTTACGGTGGCCAATTTACGTTACAGTAAAAAAACCCGCGTATAGGAACCTGGATTTTTTAATTTAGCCTAAACAGGTTCTTATGTAAATGGTACTTGAGGCAAATTTAGGCTATCAAGGTTCCTAAAATAGGTTCTTATATTTTCTTATGAATATTATTTAAATATATTATAAATATCATCTCATAATACAATATGAATAATTTATGCCATAATGCCTAAAGGCAGTACAGTGCAGGTATGTCCTTAACAAAACATATGGTCAAACAAACTCGTAGTCAGTTCTCTGAAATGCCATTTCAAAGATGATACCAAGAAAATCATGGGACAAATACAGTACATCCATAACCAGCTCCAAGCAATCAACCTACAGTATTGCCTTTTTTGGAGTTCTCTGTGACACTTTAACGAGCAATTAGGAGAAATGAAAAAAATTAAAAACTGTTTGGCTCTAGCCCTTGAGGTATGATCATGCAAAATGGAGCTCGTCAATCCTTACGACAAATGTCTTGTGGCGGTCAAAAACCAAGATGGAAACCTGGTTAGTCATGCACCAAAGGAATCATCGAAGTTCTTTCAGAAGTTCCTAAACGATTCTGGAGAAGGTGAAGCAGAATGCATTGGAAATAGGCTCAATGCTGGGAAAGGAAAAGGGGTTGAAATCCCTGTGGACTACAGACTTGTGGCCAATGAGTCCTATCTGGGAAGGCTCACGATGAAATTATGGACGAAGGACTTTGCTGATGATATCAACATCAATAAGAGTAAGAGTCAGGGGATCCCAGGAAGCTTAACAAGATAAAAAACACTCATTGTTCATATATATGTGAACAATGTGTGTTTTTTATCTTATCTTTTATGTATATATATATATATATATATATATATATATATATATATATATATATATATATATATATATATATATATATATATATATATATATATAACTAACTGCAGACAGTACTGTTTCGGCCTTCTGGGCCTCATCAGTGCAGTGCTGATGCTAGGATGGAGGTAAGGCTATATAGCCACCCCAAGTGATCTCACACATGTGGTATCATCTAAGCCATGCCAGAGTGCTCAAACTAGAAAACCTAGCGAGCATGCATAATGCTAGCAGCAATGACTCATCCTAGTAGAGTGCTCAATTTGGACATGAAAGCAAAAGCTTTGTATGCCAAAGAGCTATATCTAACTGCTATATATATATATCAGCCACAAGCAAAAACAATTGATATGCTGTATCTCAAGGATCTATCACTTTAAAGCATTGCCCATTGGGAGCTTACTTCGTTTTGATATTTTGCCATTATTTATTTCATTGGGATACATTTTTATGTTTTATATTTAATATTTTGTGATTCTTACAGAGCCAGAGATGGTCAGAAAGCTTTCTTTGATATTAGTAGAGTGCCATACTTGCAAATACTTGAAGAATTATTTGAATGGTGAACACGATAGACACACAACACAGTACTTTAACTTGAAAGAAAAAAATATTATGTCAAGTTACTTTAAATATAATCAGTTGATGATCTTAATTCATCAGTTTCTATTTATTCTGTACACTTTTACAGCTACTCCACTGGTTAGAACCTAACTTAAAATTTCAGCCTTAATAGGTTGTCATGTGAAGGAGGTTTAAAATGAAAATTTTAGCCTAACAGCTTCTTAAAACCCAGGTTCTTATCCGCGGGTTTTTTACTGTAGTTGACTCGGTCGATAAAGCAAAAATTATCTTTCATTACCTTAACCGACGCAGCACTTCCGTTTTGTTAAAAAATTATCTTCATTTTATGATAATTACTTTCCGGCTTCCCTGAACTCGGCCGCCTTGTTGTATTGTTTTGCTTCTGTCCTTGTCTTTTTCATTTTTTTTGACCTACTAACTCGCTTTTGCACAAGGGAAGGCTATGAGAAACAAAACGTTTATTGGGATTCTCCACTCATGAAACCTTTTGAGCTAACAATACATTTGTTGAGTCGCTCGTGCAACAGTACACACAATGAAGGAAGTCAATAATTTAGCGCTGCGGTTTCGGGATTTTTTCCTAGTAGCTTTCGTTGGCTTTTGATTGGACAATCACATCACTTTCAGGGATGTGATATTTTTCAGTTCCTTTCCAAGATTTTTTTCTCGGGGCCGCAAAATCCTAAACAAAAAAAAAAGATCTAACATCCAATTGTGGGAAACAAGCGGAAGTCGAAGTCGGAGGGAATGGCGGAAGTGTTTACTATCTCTTGCAGCGCAACAACTGCCGAATAACGCATATGAACAGCCGTCGGGGTTTCCTTTCTCAGAAAATCTTATGTTTCGCCACGTCTTCGTTGCCATCGCGGTTGTGGTCTGCGTCCCATTTTCTTTTCATATAGTCGATCACTGCGGCGAAGCGTACTAGTTCTTGAATTTAACAAAGGAAAATTTTACAACTCTCTATCCGTTTTCGGTTTCGGGTTTTTTCCGAGTTTATCTTTACCCTTACCTCCTGTTTGGTTGATATCATGTTTTATTCCATGAGATCCACAAGTGAACTGAGGATATGCTGAAAAGAAACAGACGATTCAAATTGTACCAGTGATCAATGAAAGTATAGTTGTCAAATTCATATGAAATTTTAATGACGAACATATTTTGCTCTCAGCTTTCCAACTTCATTAACTCGGGTCATCTTGAAAAAATATCGGCATTCATTTTAGATGTTCCTGTTTGCAATGAGATTTCTATCAGCTCTTTGGTATAGGTTTTTTGCTGAATCCTTACAGTTAAGTATGGGTTTTGTTTTCGTGAGCAAATTAGTACTCACAAGTTCCTTTCAATTCTGTTATCGCTTCAATGGTGAAACGAATGGTTTAACACAATACGCGTTCAGACTCGTCTGGGCGAGTTCCGAATTTGAATAGCGGATTAGATCCATACTGACTTGACTACGATATCTCTAGTTCTGTTGCAAACAAAAGAAATCACGATTTAGTTCGACTGTAAAATCAATATACTCAATCCGTTCTTTCATGAATTACTAAACGGATAAAACCTCGCCGAGGAAGTCGCGGGATGCCTTTGTTTACGTTTTACTACGGTCATTCTGCCTTTGTCTACGTTCTTTTTAGCGTCATTTGAAATCAATTTAACTCACTCAGACCGTCTTGTTTGCCTTCAATTATGGTTTGATTTTGTTGAAATGACTGCATGTTCAAAAAAGTCCAGATAAATTCGCAATCTATGCGTCAAAAAAGGTCCTGTTTTCTCAGAAAGTGAAACTTATGAGTGATTCGGGGTTTCCTTCGCATACTCACCATCAATGGCTTCTTCTATCGAGAACACGAATAAGAAAACGAGAATCCAAAAGTGCAGTTTACGTCCTGAATTCATGTTCTTGGTTGCTACTTCAACTACGCTCTCACTAACTGTTCGTCTTCTGAAACCAAGCCAGAAGCTGCAGCAGCGTCCTTTGTAAGGGCGGTTCCGAGAAATGACAGGAAGTTTTCAATCTATATGTGTAATCGGACTATATTTAGCAGTCAATCGAAAAAGGCCAATAAAAATCAACAGATTCAAAATGGGAAGCAACATAAAGATCCTTCAATGAGTAAACAAAATTTAAAAAATGATGATCTAAACCTTGATATTATTATTTTAACTTCGTTCGTTTGATCACATTCTATCTTAGTAAGCAGCACCTAGTTGAATAAAATGATTAGAGTTAAATTCAAACTGATTCAAACGAGACATAAAATCTGACTTCCAGGAAAAAGTATTCGAGGGTAAATAAACCGAACCGGTCAATTGAACCACGTTGAAGATAACAACCGGAAGAAGCTGCCTATCGTATAAGAGGAAGTTTGAATGTTTAAGTTTTGAGTCTTAACGAACAGGGAATATGTAGACGCCAATAACTATGGAGAGTTATTTGTGCCAAAATTGTCAATCGCTAGTTAAAAAACTCAGTCGTTAGTGCTAAGATATCAATCGCAAGTAAAAAAAACTCAGTCGTTAGTGCTAAAATGTCAATCGCTAGTGATAAAACTCACCCGTTAGTACTAGCAAAAATCGTAATTGTTAATCAGTTTAGCCGGAGTCCGTTCTAAAATGGTCAATCGTTAGTGCTGAAACCTAATCGTTTGTGTTGTTGCACCAAACGCCGCTATAAATCTCCAATTAAAAGCGCTAATTATTAGAGTTAGTGCTAATGATATGTTTTATGTTTTGACGGCTGAAAAATGAAAGTATACACCAGTGCGATCCACAATAAACAAAACGCACCTGGCAGTGATAAAAGCACGTGCTGGCCTGCCTGCCCTCAGGAAGTAAATTTCCTAAAATAGATAAAATCTTTCTGTTTGCTTGTTTTTTCGGGGGAGGAGGGTAGGGTAGTTGTGGCCCCAAGGAAATTTTTTATTTAATAACCTATAAGCGAAAAGACAATCTTTTTCAACCAATGACACAGGTTTACTTGGGCAAAAAAATAAATTTCTGGTGTTGAAGAGAATCAACGACGTCTATCGATTCACCCTTGGGTCAGATGTTGCCTTGTTGTCAGTAACTAAGCCAGTCACCTTCAATGGATCAAGTACCCTTAGCACTCAACTCTTTCGAACATTTGAATGTTAATGAGATGCTTTTGGCTAATAATGGAGGAAAGATGGTTTGTTTTAGGCGAAAGATGATGTTTCTTTTAAGTCAGGAACACCGGTTGAAAGGTTAAAGAAATTCCCGTTGCTTTCGAAAGGAGTAGAACAAAGAAAGTCACTTCCGATGTAGAGAGAAACCTAGATATTTTTCAACTAATATTAGCATGGTGCAACCAGCTTTGAAAGTGATATGGATCACTGAACTTTTATGCAAATTAATCCGTAATTGCGTTTGAGTGATTTTCGCAGAAAATCACGAGGTTTGTGAAGTAGTCACCTAGAACCATTTTTGGTAAAATTTCTGCATAGCCCCATACTTCATTATTCATTCAGTTCTTGGAAAAAAAAACAGTTAGAAAGCTACAACATTAATCTTAATTCCCCTTTATAATCTATCATTTCATCTCTGAAAACCATCAAAAGAATATTTGGGCACTACAGTATTTTTGTCTCGGTGCCTTTTAAAATCAGCGACTGTGACAAGTTTCTCTCAACTATACCTGTCACGCAATTCTGGCTCTAGCTGATCACCTGACCAAATGAACCTACATTTTTAGCTCTTTATACAATATGATTGATCAAGAAAGCTAAAAAATGTGAAAAACTCTCGAAACTT